GTGCTGGACCCAGTGCGCAAACCACCAGCCAATACCCATCCTCCTCATTCCTCCACGACCGTGAGAGAGTACTGTTGGAAGCGGGGATTTTCTTAGCTAACACCCCTTAGACGCGCTCATTTCGCAAATGTGGAATTACTGTCCCAATCGATGGCACAGCAGATTCGGAGATCCATATTGAAGGAATCTCGAACTATACAGTCCCTGATTGGCAACTACCTCCTGAGTCTGAAGACCAAGCCGACCTGCCAACAGACATGGAGGATAAAAGCTCTGACCTTGAGATTGTGGATGATGAGGAGGAAGCGGATGGAAGTGACAATGAGCATGGAGATTATATTACTGAAGAAGAGGCTACGCAATATGCTGTCAGTGTTGTTCCGGAAATTTTTTTTTTCCAGGGAAATTCTTTTATAAGGAAGTACCCCCGTGTTTAAGCTAGTATCGTATATAAGACAGTAAATTTAAGGCCCTCCGACGGCCCGTTTGTTAGCAAGACAGCATTCTTACTCACGAATTAATATGGTATTGCGTAGCCTCTTCTTCAGTAATGTAATCTCCATGCTCATTGACACTTCCATCCGCTTCCTCCTCATCATCCACAATCTCCAGGTCAGAGCTTTTATCCTCCATGTCTGTTGGCAGGTCGGCTTGGTCTTCAGACTCAGGAGGTAGTTGCCAACCAGGGACTGTATAGTTCGAGATTCCTTCAATATGGATCTCCGAATCTGCTGTGCCATCGATTGGGACAGTAATTCCACATTTGCGAAATGAGCGCGTCTAGGTAAGGGGTGTTAGCTAAGAAAAACCCCGCTTCCAACAGTACTCTCTCACGGTCGTGGGGGAATGAGAAGGATAAGTATTGGCTGGTGGTTTGCGCACTGGGTCCAGCACACAGTGGAATTGACATTGTAACAAGTGATGGTGATGAGTGAAAGAACTCGACTGCGCCAGCCAACGCCGACAGACATTTCTATACTACTGTCCTATAAGAAAAATTTGCTGTCTAATACACGATTCGGATATCTCGGCCAAAATTAGGCTGTTTTACCCCTGTCTTATATACTAATACTGTCCTGCCGAGTAGTACTTTCTTACTCGCGAATTAATACGGTATAGTTTTTATTAGGACATACGTTTCAGTTTTCACTGCTTGGTGAGCAAATTCAAGTAGCTGGGGGGGACGTATGTTCTGGGCCAGCCGCGAAAACTCAATATTCGCGGAAGGCCCGGGCCCCTCGGGAGAACGCGGGAGCACATAATTACCCAAGTAAGTAAACTTTTGATACATAGTAACTAGATACAATGTGGAATAAAGCATGCAATGAAATACAAAGTACGAAATGAGTTTGGACATTAAGCAGAAGGGCCGGCAATATGTATTGTGTCCTCCTTATAGGATTCTGGCGAGGACAAAGTCCGACAAACTGGAACTCGCGAGATTTGTAGGATGACATCGGGTAGTACATTCTCGGCTCAAACGCAAACAGGGGCAATGGCGGGTTTGACATTTGCCTTTACATTGACTGTAGTTTCAGGCTGAGTCAATGGAGTTAAGGAAGCAGCCTCTCTTGATGATAGGCGGTTTGCATTATAGGCGGATAATGTGTGCAATTGATCCAAATCAGAATGTGTATAATTTGGCAGGTGGAACGGTCGGGTTCGAGACTAGGTTTAGAGATGATCTTGCAGAACGGCCTATGTGCATTGGTTGTATGTCGGTCGATCCGGAATGTAAAGTGATACTAGGTCACCAACATCAAATTGTGCAATGTCTTGGGATTTACTGTATTTCATACCCATCCGACTCCGACTTCGAGTAGGCCTGGGTCTGTCCAGGCAGCCTGAATAAGGCAAGCCGCCTGAATAGCCTGAATAGCCTGGGCCATGGCCTGAATATGAAGACTGGCTGACCCTCTGAGCGAGGTGCAATCGGTGGTAAGGCAATTTCATCTCCGCTTTCAGTAGGGGAGGTGGGCAGCCAAGATAAGTGGCCTTCTGGACGATGGGTGGAGAGTGTGCTTTACGGACGGCACGGGCAGATCGGGACGCTGCCTCTGCGTTCGTCTCGGAGGACAGGAAAGATAAACCACAAACAACAGGGAATAGCTATCTCGGGGAGGAGGCCACTGTAGCCAATGCCGAACGACAAGCCCTAGTCCTCGCTCTCAAGGCACACAGAGAAACCGCCATGGTTGCCATCCTACTCTGCCATATCAGCAGCTATCAAGATCTCCCAAGGAGAGCCACCAAGGAGCGATATCGAACTAGGAGGGCTCCTGGGAGAGAGAGACCACTCCCAGTATGACACATCCATCTCCTGGGTCCGGTCACATAACGGCAGCAACGAGGAAGCCGACATCCAGAGCAAGAACGGCCCCCGGATATGGCGTGAGACGGACAGAGTAGCATCGCCACGCCATGTCAGCTTACACATGGCTCCGCACTGACCGAGGACCCCAAATACACTGGCTACACAAGATTGGCAAAGCTGAGTCAAGCGTATGCCAGTGCGGACACCATACCCAGGACGGTCGACACATTACCTTCGACTGCCCTGACTACAACGACCAAAGAGCTGCCCTCGGCAGCAGCAAGGATTGGGATGATTTAGATCGCCCAATTTGGATTCAAGAGGAAGAAGGAGAGGATTGGGACGCAGTAGAAGCTTTCTTTGGTTTCCTGCATAGATGCATGGCCGGAAGAGGGGCCCGTCAGTTGTTAGGTTTTATGTTCATGTTCTCCGAGTATCGCCATTTAGTCCATGCTTTTCAGTTTATCCCGACCTCCTTGTGTCTCATGCGGCTTTTGTCCGCGAGTTACGTTTTTATGTATACCTAGCGTTGGACTTGGCAGATTAACTTGCCTCGTCCCTGAATCCACCCGGGTTTCCGGGTGGCTCCTCATGGCCCCCTTAATGGGGTCGAACAGGAGTAATGAGTTACAGCAGTGTTCGCAACAGGCCGAGGTCCGTTCACGGTCTGAAAACCGCCTGGGGCGGCCTGTATTGCCGGACTATGTTCATGAGAGCAGACGATGTTCACATGTGGAGCAAAACTGACATATTCATAGATATAACAATAGCGACTGTTGGCCGCACACCCAGGCCGCCCAGACCTCCAGGCTAATTAGACCGTCCACGCTATTCAGACCATTCAGGTCATTCAGGCTATTCAGGCCGTCCAGACCGTCCAGGCTATTCAGGCCGCCCACGCTCCTAGCTACCCAGTTCGCCGGCCTGATAAGGCTGATATTTCAGGCCAGGCCCCGGCCGATGTTAGGGGCGAGCTAGTGATCTAGGGAATGTTGTCGGAATACAGGTACTGTATTTGGAGGTCGAACGAAGGCAAGATCACATAACTCGGGCCTAACTGTTGCACGTACGGGTACGAGTAGAACTTAGAACATTGCTCGAAGAGCCAAAAGCTAGGTAGATGCAGATGTGCGTGGATATATAGCAAAGCAGCCTTCCATCTCACATGCGATTCTCCCATTTCACGTGCGGTTGCGACGTCTTTAGTTAAAACACTAAATCGGTGCCGCCAGCCCAGTCCGCGTAATCTCAGTCGTAACAGCCGAGCTCTGTCTGGTCCAGGCCGGGCCGTTGAGTACACCTAAGACTAAGACTTGGGTGGTAAGCGCGTCTGAGCCCTCGAGGCCTTTTGTGCCAAGTACTGACACTTGCATATTGTCAATTTAAGTACCTGGTGGACAAATCATTTGTCTAGTTCACCCGATAACCAAATTATCAAGATACCGTACACCTCATTCTCATACTCGCGGGTGGCCTGGTCATTCCGTATTCTCCCGCAGGGCCCGGGCCAGCCAGGAGATGGGTGAACTCCTGGGGTCCAGCCTCTCGCGAGTGACCCGGAACATCTGTCTGTACCAACAGCAGATATTTGAAAACTGGCCCAATTCATTCCGCATTCCATTTGTCTTGGACTGTCGGAAAAGCTAGCCATGATCAAGCTGATGGGCAACAATTCAGTTATACCATATAGAATATATATATTTCCAATCCATGGTCTAAAGAAATCTCAAAAAGAAAAAGGAAATCCCGACCTTTCAACCGGAAATGCCCCCTATCAGGATCGAACTGATGACACTCAGCGCACACATTTTCTTGCCATATGAGACTGATGCTCTACCAACTGAGCTAAGGAGGCTAGTAGATATAGTTGTTAAAGTCTCTAGACTTCTATATTGTGATACTTTGTTGAATTAAGCTTCCGGGTGAATATAGTTACTTAGACATATATTACTCACTGCAAACATTACATACGGGTAAAGTATTATAATACTACATATATATTTATTCAATTCATACTTAGTCTACTTGGAGTACTTTGAAGCTTCTGTCGGCCTTTTCAAGTTGCTAGAACCATGGCTAGCGAATCTGTACCAACAGCAGATATATGAAAACTGACCCAATCCGTTTCGCAGACCATTGGTCTTGGACTGTCGGAATCAAGCTCATGGGCAATAACTCAGTGTTATATAGGTAGTTGTTGTGTAGCAATTTAGTTCCTTTATAAATAAGGTCCGAGACAAAATCACCTGACTGAAATAAGAAAAGGAGATTTCAGTAAATGCCAATCTATACTGCTGGCCTTTAGCTATAAGGTTTCTCACAAAGCCAGCGAATTTGTACCAACAGCGGGTACGGATATCGTATACAGAAAACTCAATCTCGAACCACATGTAAGAAACACCGATTTTCCTTCATGTTGTATTCAATAGAGCAGTTCTACTATAGTTTCTTTGTAGTGATCAAAGCACAAGCTTTCCATTACTTGAACATATCAATCTTCACACCATTCCGAACAACTCATAGCCACGTTTCTTACAAACCCATGCATGCGGTTCGAGATCACTGATATATACCAGGGCGAGAGCACCACGAAAGTTGACTTATATCAGTCAGGTGATTTTGTCTCGGGTAAATACTCAAACCTTATTCACATATGTATGGGAACTAAATTCCTATACAATAACTAGCCTCCTTAGCTCAGTTGGTAGAGCATCAGTCTCATATGGCAAAGAAATGTGTGCGCTGAGTGTCATCAGTTCGATCCTGATAGGGGGCATGTCCAGTTAAAAGACAATGGTTTCTTTTTCTTTTTAAATTCTCTTTAGACCATGGGTTGGAAATATATATTCAACTGAATTGTTTCCCATGAGCTTGATCATGACTAGCTATTCCGACAGTCCAAGACCACGGAACGGATTGGGTCAGTTTTCATATATCTGCTATTGGTACAGATTCGCTAGCCATTTTTCCAGCAGCCGACAGAAGCTTCAAAGAACTCCTAGTCACCGACATAAACGTCTAAGGACCGAGTGCTTACAAGAACTCGCGAACCAGGACACCCCCGACGTTAGTTTAAGCTTTATTTTATTCGGCGCGCTCTCATGAGCACGTCTATGTAATTTATTTGTTCTATTGTGCGAAATTGCGAATTTCCCCCCCGGGGTAAAACTTTTATCCAAAAGTGGGCGATTCCCTCCGCAGAGTATGTATTTACGTTCTTAGCTAGGATGTTTCCATTAGCTATTTTTAAAATGGATACTTAATGATACGTGAACGATGAATTCTTTCAAGGTATCGTTCTGTAAGATGTAATTCAATATCCATTCATTGAATTGTTCGAGATATGTAGACTTGTGGGTGTGTAGGTTAGTATAATTTAGCATGATCATACCATATGTGACATCAAATGACATATGTATTTGAATAATTGAATCATCCATTGAGAAAGTGAGAGAATATTCTAGCCGTGGGTTGGATGGTTGGATGCTTTCATTGATATATGGATGGTATTATATAGGAGGTTGACAGGCGGTAGTAATTTAGTTTACTTGTGTATGTACTTCAAGTAAACAAGTACTACGAGCACCACACCACACAACTTATACTGCCTCACATCACGCCTTATGTTCAGAGGCCATAGATATCTCCTGGAACAAGGACACAAAAGGTACCATGCCTCCCAAAAGAGAAAAATAATTCGAAGAGCGAGGTTAAAGTGGTCTGCATGTCAGAGCAAAATAATGTAAAACCTGGTTGGTCCTCATACATACAGACCTGGGAAACCACAGAGGAATACCCTCCAGAGGCAAGGGTTGTTATTGCAGTCAAAAATGAAAGCCCGTACCTCTTTCGAACCTAAGCCAGCACAATCACGGGAAGCTTTGGCGTTATATTTCGCATGAGATGTAACATGAGTAGCGGCCACTGGATTTGGGAAAAGTTTGGCATTCATGATGACAGTTTTTGGATTACAGCTAATGAATTTGGGAAGAAAGTTGAAGCGATTCGGGGTCTGTGTTACCTCCATTGAAGCTCTTGGAGAAGATCAAGTAGAGAAGTTGTGGAATCAACCATGAATGGTGAATATGACTTGAGTGATCGGGAGTTATGCACAGTAGCTAATGACCATAGTATACTTGTCTCCGGAAAAGTTGATGGAATTAAACAGCTCTTTTTCAAAAGCTACTGAAAGTCTGCGGCGAGAACAAGCGAAAACAAATTGCCTTTCTGGTCATAGATGAGGCTCATCTACTTAGATGTAGTCGTAAGATTGGTATGTTGACACCCTTCAAAGTTCTGGCTGTGGGTTGCTTCGTTCAATTTGCGTTTGCTTCGTTCAATTTGCGGGTTGCTTCGTTCAATTTGCGGATTGCTTCGTTCAATTTGCAGGTTGCTTCATCCAGTTGCTTGAACAACGAAGACTCCGAAAAATGGACCCTGATAAGGCCTGGGATACATGAGGGCGTATCACTCCTACGGAGGGTGTTGTGCCAACTAGACTACTACTTAACGCCCCGAGATTTCTGTCATCTTGGATCAAAGATCTCTTGATATAGGGGCGCCGGGTAGGAGTGTTGACTGTCAATTTCTACAGTAACTTTTTTCTCGCACATATGGACCTACCGGTATCACACATGTTCACATCCCTCTCGAGCGCGACAACAATATATACAGAACTATCAATCGATATCAGGGCCAAACCTATCGTCGCATAATGTCTGACCCATTGTCAATTGTCTCGGCGGTGTTCGGGCTAGTTGCGTTATCTGCCCAGCTTGGGGTCCTTTCCAAGCAGCTGTGCGACTTTGCGAAAGACGCACCGGTATCCATGGTACAGGTCCACCAGGAAATAGACGATCTACACCCAGTTTTCGTGGAGGTGGCGTCATTCATACGGGGAACCACGAAGGAAGAGACTAGCAAGAGAGGGCTCTCCATGATCAGCTTGCATCATTTGATGACTATTTTGACTGGCTGTGTTTTGGTATTTTCGAAGCTCGAGAAGAAACTAAATGAGGTTGCCGGGTTGATGGATCCCACTACACAAAAGCCCGCACGGGGATTACAGTGCACTGTGGATCGAATCAAGTGGGCCTTGTGGAAAGAAGCAGAGGTTGGCGTGCTTCTCGGAGACTTACAGAGGCACAAATCAAGCTTGCAGCTCATGTTGTCTATGATTCAATGGTACCCATCCCTGTTTCCAACCACGATGAACATTCCGATTGTTGAGTCGAACTAGAGTATTAATGAATTAATTCCAGCAATACCGCATCCGAGGCAAACGAGCGTTTAGAGAAGCTGCAAGGGCTCGTGGAAAAGATATTAGAATCCAACGTCGAAACCTCCATCCAGTTGCGGGCACTCATCAGTCGACGGTCAAATGAACCGCCAGCTCACGGCACTGCAGGGTCGGAGCACAGTATTGGCCTCAGCACTATTCCAAGTAGCGTCGCTTCTTCATCAAGATCTGCTCCTGGACACGCTTTGCGTCTCTCGGTTGATCAAGATGACGGGGCCTCTTTTCGGACGGCCAAAACATCATTCTCTTCACAGTCCGTGCAATCCTTCGCCCGAGAGCTCTTCCGTTCAAGAGCCTACAAACGCCTTAGGTCTCGTAGAGCTGGCGCTGGTTCTAGTGCCGAGTCTATCTACTCCAAGAGTAGTAGTGCAACCAAGGGAGACAGGTGGTCAATGCTATCGGACATTTCTCTGGGTGCCCTGGCAATATCTGAGATTTCCGTTCTGGAGCTGCCGATTTGCGGATCTGACTTGTATGATTCACAGCCCTATGATTTAGCTGAGGAAGCTACATCAGCAGAAAGGCCCAACGGTATTCATGCTCAGCGTAGGGGGGTGTTACCGTGGCCTTCCCGTGGAAGGATTCATACTGCTATTAGGACGAATGACGAATTCGTATTACGTACCTTAATTACTCTGGGGGCTGACCTTGAAGAGATAGATTCGGAAGGACATACACCATTGATTGTGGCGATCCGCAACAGGAATCCTAAGGTTTGTAAAACCCTATTAGATATTGGTGTAGAAGTGGACACTCCTGACTCTTCCGGCATCACGCCACTGATACATGCTATAACTTTCCGTGATGACGACCCTGACGACGTCCTTTATATAAACCAGGGCTTACAAACGAGGCTCTGTGAATTGCTTGTGGATGCAGGCGCGGCGGTCGACACACCCGATTCCTCTGGTCGTACACCGCTGTCGCATGCTGCAGGTTGCCAGACTTGGGGCGAGTTGCGCCTCTGCGAATTTCTCATAAATAAAGGTGCTGTGGTCGATACACCCGATTCCTCTGGCCGTACACCGCTATCGTATGCTGTGTGCAGCCAGTCTTTGGTCGGCCTCAGCCTCTGCAAATTTCTCGTAGATAAAGGTGCAGCAGTCGATAGACCCGATTCCTCCGGCCGTACACCGCTGTCATACGCTATGTGTGCCCGGGTTTTCGACAACCATGAGACTTGCAAACTCCTTGTTGATAAAGGCGCAGCAATCGATACGCCTGATTCTGCTGGTCGCACCCCGTTATCATATGCTGCGGCCGCTGGTACCCAGTGGGGTAAATTTAAATTGCTGGTAGATAAAGGTGCAGAATTGGATAGGTCTGATTCCTCAGACCGCACTCCGCTATCATATGCTGCGGCCACTCCATTTGGAAGAACTACCGTCAAAATTGCCAATTTCCTGGTGGATCATGGCGCAGTAGTCGATACACGCGATTCCTCTGGCCGCACACCGCTGTCGTATGCCGCCTCATCTCGAGGTTCAGCTGCCCTCGATATTTCTGAAATGTTGCTGGGTGCAGGCGCAGCAGTTGATACACCCGATTTATGTGGACGCACACCATTGTCATATGCAGCTGCAACGGGTGCATTTGTTCCCAGAGAGTTAAGCTCTGTCTTTGGTGATCGTAAACGGCGGAGAAATCTTATAGGGAGTCTGCAGGCGAGGGATATATATATTTTATTCACGGACATCCGCATAGCGCTTTGCACACTACTCCTTGATAAAGGCGCGAAGATGGACACGAACGACAGCGCTGGCCACTCCCCGTATTGGTACGCTCGTAATGCAAACAACAACGAGATTTGTCAGTTTCTTGCTAATAAGAGGTGCGAAGCAAGATATATAAGCAGGCGGAGAATTCTACCAAGTTACACATCTAGACAAAGCGCTGGCAGTGCTTGACTTTGGATATACACCGCCGCGGGCAATTCATTTAATTACTGCATTTAGTATATAATCGATTGAGTAATCCTCCAGATCAATTGGGCTATTATCCAAGAGTCCAATTTGTGTCCGTTCAGCTAGAGCCGAGAGGTTACCGCAGTTCATGATCTGCTAAACCTCTGATATGACAAAAGAATGTGCATTTCAACTCATATATAAAAGCATCGGCAGCAACGACTGGTATCTAAAGTGACCCAGGTGGCTCATCAAAGTCCCGACCGAATATGAGTACGGAAATTTTTTTTTTTTTCAATTAAATCAGTTGCCAATGTTGTATTGTATACTGTATCTGTGACCCATAGCCAATCAGCGCTATATTGGCAGTTTGGCCGGCCCATACCTACAGAGTATAGGTAGGTGGTGTCATTTGCTAAATATAATTACAATCACGGAAATTGTACCTACCGCAGAAACTCAGAAATAAGGCCCCCTGTCAAACTAATGTCAGTTGCTATATATACCCAGAAACATGTACCTAGACCCACATCCTATTGCATAATCTACTTAGACTAGGCAGAGTTCCTTGTG